GAAACCGATTGTGTTTACTTAAGACAAAAAGATTATCAGTTATCGAATTGAAATATTAACATGCTAAAAATTACGATGTATTTGTATCGGGTATATGAATTAATATTGTCGACTTCTTTTTCAGAATTATTTTTCACATTCATTCGGTATATATAGCAGTCACGCGACTCTCTTGAGCTATTTTTCTGCTCCCGTGTCGACCCTCAAGCTTACAGACTGTCAATGTCACAAAAAAACAAGGCCAAAACAAGGCCTTGATTTCTCTCCCGGAGCTGTCGGGTCGAGGGTTTAGCCCGAGTAAAAGCATTCTCGGCGCAGCCAATCGATATGGAATAAATCCTCGAATAATCAAATCGAATCGTCGATAAAGATCGATTACTCTGGATTGGTATTGGGTAACTGATTCCATACCGATAAAAACATAAAAATAACCATCGATTTATATCTATAAAAATGAGTAGAACCACTGCATGTGTCATCGATTGTCGATTGATTTTTGAAGTCAATGTATGCGATTATCAATTCGCATTATAACCGATAGCAATCCATAAACACGCAAACTTCATTACTCTAGTCATTGATCTAACTTGGTCTTTCCAAAAGCAATCTAGACATTGATATCGATTGCTTGACTTTACTAATTTTATTGACTTTGTTGCATGAATCGCTTGTAAGCAATTAAACAAAAACTCTGTCAATCTTAATATTCTTATATATTCTGTTATAATATATATATTTCTGGATACTTTACATCTGTTTATTAACGTTGCACTTATCCTTTTTTGTGACACAGATCTACATTCGTTTCCTCCACATACCACTGTTCCAAGGTGGTTTCCGACAAGTAGATTGTTGATTCATATTTTCCTCAATTTTATCATATCGTTTGTTAGTTTTGCAAGTATACATATGATATCTGCAACTATTACCTCCCTTTTTAAACTAGAGACATTCCAAAAGCAAAGCAATMAAAAGAAACACCACGGAAGAGAAAAAATAGCGGCAAAACTAGATTGAAGCACAGCTAACCAGCAATACCAAGCTATATACCTTGGCTGCGTTACACGGTAGTCCTTATAGTATCTGGGGGCTCAATTCTTTCGTTCCCTCTCTCAAGCGAAAAAACAAACAAACAAACAATCTGCAAAGCCTTCTCCCTAGGTTCCCGGTGCTCAGCTCCACGAGGTGTTCATGCGGTCACCCCACACTACGTGGAAACAAATGATAAGTGATTGAATTAGATTATGAGTTCCCTTAAAGGGTAAATGTTAAGGGGTAGACTTTCACAAAGTCACTTTTACTCCCCTGGAACAAGGGTCGGATTCTCGCTCTCCGCGCTGTTTTTTTTTTTTTTTTCGAAACTGAAGACTTGCTTACCTTACCTTTGAAGAACCTTTTTCTGACAACCTGAAGAGGTTAGCTCTTTATCTTTAAACAATTTAAGATGGTATCTTGAATTCGAGCGCACCTGAAAACAAATTGAAGGGGTRGTGGGTTAAGTTTTTCACGGACATGTCAATTGGATGGAATGACTGGAAGTTGACTTTTTTAGATTYGACACCGTTTTCCATGATCCAAGAAATCAATTTATCTACTCRGAGCAAGAACATTGGGTCGAGTGGATTACCTAGTTATATAAAATGACTTCCTCAAAGGTAAGACCGAATTGGGTCTTGGGTACTTGGAAGTAATTGCTATCACATAGCGGATGTCGTATGACTTTCCAAAAAGAAACATTATTTGCCGTCAGTGCAGTGTGCTATAGCGGTGATGTATACAGCTATTTCAAATAACGAAACGCAATTTATGAAAAGAACTGAACGCGATATTAGAAGTTTTTCGGCGTTAGGAATGCACCAATTTGGGGGTGGGCGGGCAGGACGCACCTAAGGGGGGAGGGCAGCGTTCTTGTGCACCCCTTGAGGCCATAAATGTAAAAGTCACCCTTGAGCATAAATAGCCAAAGCTAGCCAAAGTATAGATTTTATTGTGAGCATGCATAGCATGAAAACAAGATCAAGATAATTTTGAGTTCAACATTTCGAGCAGCTCCATTGCAAAGTGGCTACAACTGTTTTAGGATACCTCTGAATGAGAGATTGTTTCGTGCAGTTTTTAGTTTCATAAATCGTGTTGATACATGATTTAACTTATGAATTCTATCTATATTTAGTGGCACACTGAGAGCCACACATCTTTCGTAAAAAGCCCTATGCGTACAGTCTAGAAAGTAAGAGAGCGGGTCAGGGAATATCGACCACATGTGTGAAAAACGGAAAAATCGAAAAATCCCAAAATATTCCCAAAGACAGTTTACCATGAGTTTTTGACGAAGAAAATATCGATAAGCCAGCAAGTGACTTATTTCAGGCAAACCAGGACATTTTCAGTTCGACGGCTTTACGGCGGCTTCACAAAGGACAAAAATCGATTCTACAAAAATATCAATAAAAAAATGAATTCGTCAAATAACTACAATTAAAACATATATTCTTTAAAAGGGATGTTTATTTCATCTTCTGAGTTTATTTTTATACAAGTACACGTAAATTACAATTTTTAGCAAACTTTTGAATGTATGCGTGTTTTTATTCAATTTCAGCATCGCTAAAATACACGATTTTCAGAGGCCAAAAATGTGTATTGCTACATGACCTGAAGAAATAAAACCAAGTTCCGAAAAATTATGGGTATTTCTTCTTTACAAAAATGCAATAAAATTTTTGGGCTGCTAAAACTACGAATTTTCAGAGGTCTTGAATCTGAGGCCATCAGAGGTGTGAAAATGTCTCAACACCGGGGTCACGCGATCAACAAAAGCTTTCGCAAATCACACAGAACTTTCCTAAATTATCGAAAACTATTAAAATAGCAAAAATACATCCTCGGGACATTGTTGTTTCTCTAAAGTCTATTGGAGTCGCTATTGATAACAAGAAAACCGAGATTGAAAACCGATGACTCTTCAGTCGATGTGGCTATATTTTGGGCTTGA